CATTATTAAATTACTGTGTAATTTTATTCTCCTGTAACAGATCCAATTTTTAAAATCAATATCCAATAAAATTGTATTCTTAATTAATATGATTTGGATTTATAAGCTTATAAGAAAGAAATTCTTCTTGGAACACCCTTAGTATTATCATAAGCTACGTAGGAAAGAACAAACTAAGTTATCTCTATGAACGATGCAATTATTTATACTATAGCTAGTATTTCTGGGTTTCTACTCTTAACTGGAAATTAGATTGTATTCTTCAACTAACTAGACTTGTTATAGACTTTATCTTACATAAGGTATATGCAATATAAATTTCCTCCTCATTTAAGATAGTTTCTTGAAACTTACACAAAGATTTCCTTATAACCCATTTTGGATCGATTAAAAGTTGATGAGTTTATTGCCAAACTCAATGGAGGCACTCTGCCAAATTTACAAACAAAATCATCATAATAATCATAAGCTGATGTTTTAAATTAGTTCTATATAATAAATGCTAAAGGATGTTACTTATCTTACATTGTTTCCATTATTACTTATATTCTTTGCTGTCTAATATCCTCAAATAAAATGTCATCATGTTTAAAACAAGTTTTTATAAAGAATTATGAAAATTTCAGAATTCTTAAATTTATATCTATGTTTTAGAGAAATATTCTTTAGATATGTCAATAATTAAAGATATATTATTTCTCTTTTGGAGTGTTTTAACTATTTTATTCCACGCTTCATTAATAGTTGTTCAGCACTCTATTATAGTTTCCTTATTACAATTTCGGAACTCCTTTTGAACTAATTAATAGTATTGCTGCGTTAGGAAGCTTAATAATTCTAGTTCAAATACTTTTAAAATTGCTTTCCATTACAACCTCTTCAATTAAGGATAAACTAAAATGGAGGTATTTCTTTTAAGATTCAAAAACCTAATTTTGGGCAGCTAATTACAAGCCATTTCAAATTTATAAAACTGTTTTCTATATTACAATTATAATTGGATTCATAAGTTATCCTGAAGCATAATCAATCTTACTTTCGATGCAGTCATTATTTTATTTAACCTACTTGATCCTCGTTAGACCAGTAAAATCAAATTTTGAATAATCGAAATTAATTTGTAGAGAAGTAATACTATTAATCAACACAGGATCATTTTTAGTTTATAGTTTAGAATTAACTGATGAATAATTTATGTTTTATGGGTGGTTACATATAGGGTTATTTTGTTTTTTAATAGCCTTTTCCTTGGTAGTTGACATCTTTGAGTAAGTGCAAAAAGCCTATTATAATCATAGAAGGAAAGAAGAAATGAAGGAGAAAATGAAAATTTTGAGTTACTTTGACAACCCATTATAAAAATTTATTGATCCTAACAATTAAGACAAATAAGGAAAAAAATGAAATTAATTTTAAATTTTCAATATTTTATAATTATTTCAAACAAATATTTATCTTTATAGGATATTTTTAAAGGAAGTAATTTAGGTTTTCGGGGGACTGTAGATTCAATCTTAATTTTAATAAACCTTAAAATTAAATCATATAGAATCTATTTTTAAACTCTTAATTTTTAACAGATCCTTATCAGAATCCAAATTCAAACTTATAAAAGCAACAACTTTTCCAGGTAGTTTCTCTGCTTTCTCATAATGATAGAAAAATTAAATATCTTATTTGAAGACTATAACTTCTATTCTTTTAAAGAGAAAATTATAAATTTTTGTTTAGAGGTTTAAATTATTTATCAAATATTTAAGTATTTTCTTTATATTAATTGCGAATTGCTGATAATTTAAAATCAAATAAATATGAAAAATAAAATTCATTCAAAAAGCTTCATTAAATTATTTTGTTATGTTAGTCTTACTTAAAACTCCGTTTTATATCCTAATTTCGTATTTTCAATTTTAGGGTAATCAAGATGAAAGTTTAAAGTTTTATTATTCTCCTCTGCCTTCTAATTTGTTGTATTGATTAAAATAAATTTTTTGATCGATAGGATAATAAATATTATCTTAAGAATAAATCTATTTTCAACTTTAAGACGAAGCAATGAATCAAGTATTAGAAATTTAACTAACAATGTGATTCAGAAGTAAATAAAAAAAGGGTAACTTCAAAATATAAAAATAAACAATGTTTTGAGGATCTTCAAGCCAAAAATAAATGTAAAGTTAAATGAGAATAAGATCAAATACATATTCTCTGTATATTAATTTGTAATACTTCCTAAATCTGGATATGCTAGGTAAATCTATTAAAAACTGTTTTCTATTATGCAGGTTTCAAGTTTATAAACTCAATTATTTATTTTCCTTGAAGTTGAATCATTAGTAATAATTTTATTGAAAAATAGAGACACTATTTTAGTAAAGACTATTCATAAAGAATTTAAAATTTTAATATTGGCAAATATTTCTTTAAACTATGAAATTCAATGTTTTAATTAATAACTTATTTTATTATCATATTATCTCATCGTAATATTTCTTGTAAATAAATCCGAGGTTTTATCTAAAGAATCATCCCTTTGAATTTCAATTTCAGTTCCTCTAATAACGTCAAAAATCAACCACTTTTTTCTTATTTCACTCCAGCCAATACTCCTTACAGAAACCTAATTATAATTGGTTTGTTTGCAATTGCTTAAAGACTCAAAAGAGATATAATATGAATCCTTCTAATGATAACCATAAACTTGTAAATACTAATTAGCGTTATATTTCGATCTAATTAATTTTCCCCTTGAAATATCAATCAGAGCAACTTTTCTCGAATTGGAATCAGCCATAACAACAAACGCCTTATTAAATGTGTATTATGGACTTAAATATTGATTACACAAATATAATTTTGCTGCTTTACAATTATCTCTAATTCTAGAAACAATAAGGTGGCCTTTATCATCTGTAACAAGTACAATTGAATCGCTAAGTAGAGTGAGAGTTATTTAATAACTAGACAAATCGATTGGTTCCAAATAAATTTTATAAATTTTTTACTTTGATATATCTATAGTGCCATCTTAATCCAAAGGTTATTTGTGTATTTCGCAATAAAAAGATATATAAAACAAACAACCAGATTAGACATCATAATCTATTTTTCTAACTGAAGAACTCAATTTAATGATTTTTTCTTCTTATATTCCATTTTTGAGATTCAATATTAAGAATCTTGAATACTTCTCATTTTTTGTAATATTGATGAAAGCGAAATTGCCATCTTTAGAAAATTCAGGTCTTTACTCTCCCATAAAAGAAGTCCTAAGAAATATTTTTTTGATATTTGGATTGATTGTATCAATTATAATTATTCTTTAAGTTCCAATCTTTTCTTTAATTTCTACCACAACATATAAAATTATATATCGATTATCTGGACTGCTAGTGAAATTAGAAATAAAAAATTTAGAAGTTTTCGATTTAAGCCGTTATTTATATTCTTTATATTCTTCAAAGTCAGAAATGTCATCCAAATAATAATCCTTGACATCCAATCTAACTTCTTCTTCTTCATCTATAGTATAACAATACTCAATATTCAGGTCGATTGGACTAGCGAAACGCTTGAATTTTTCACTTTCTAGAATATGATTGTCTCTAATGCATGTCTTTTAATTGTATGGCAATTCTAAATTTTTTTCAAATTTGAATGTTAAAGTGATAGTCCCACAAACCTATCTTCCTCTCCCTTCATCATATAATTTCAACATCTAATTCTCTCTTTACATTCTATTCAATAAAAACAATAAGTTTTAATTTAGAAATTATATGATTTATGTGCCAATATTTTGAACACTAATTTATCATTTTCTGTTTAAATTCTGTTTTAAACAAATATAAGCATTGTAATATCAGTTAAATTTTACTTAAGAAAATCCAATTTTAATTCATCTCAAGTACATACTGAGTAGTATTTTAAGCAGGTCCTATCCTATCAGCTTATTTTTATTTCTACTCCTTTACCATCTAGATCTCCTATTTCAAATAGAAGTCCTCTCGAAGTTTCATTCCTGAAATTTTTGATAAATATTAAAATCAATTTGTCTTATAATTTCAACCAAACTTTAAGGTTTTTGCTTTTTTGATTAAATCTGTTTCTATTGAGAAATAATCCTTCTATTCTCCATCATTAATGATCCCACGTCTCCAATCTTTTCGATCCTTACAAACTTTTGTTACTTTTGAAACGGAAAGCTCACATTAAAAGAGAGCATCAGCTCCAATTTCGCAGCATGTTTTAAGATGCAGCTAATATAAATTTTATCAATTCTAAGCAAAACTTAGGACTTTTCTTAAATTTCTTTTAGTTCTAACCCATCAAGGTCTATTAACAATTTAGAAATATTTATAAACACAAAATTTGAATAAGGTTGAGAATTGTAATTCGTAGAAGAATTATTTATTACTCAAGTCTTAACTTATCCAACTATTAAATTCAATATTTCCTAAAATAATTTAACTTTAATTTCTTTTTTTCGGCCATTTATCTATATGATACTAATTATCTTAATCATCCTAGAAATTATAACCTTTTATTCCAATAATTTGAAGTTAAAAAGTCAATTTCAGTTCAGTATATTTTATAAATACTCATTGTATTTAATCAAAATAAAAAAATTGAATTCATGAAAATTAACTACTTTTATTTTATATATTTATTTTCTATTGATAATTGATAAATCTATTTTATTTTTTTTTTGTGATAAATTTCTAATCAAACAAGCTTTGTGGAAAATCCTTCATTTCTTTCATTAAACTTTAACAATCTAGTAAAGTAAAACTATCTGTATTTGAACTTAAGACAAAATTATATTTTACAAAAAATAAATATCAGAATAGAAATGAACATTCATTTAATATTGCTATCTTAATTGGTTTAACTATCAATAACCATCAGTCAAACCTGACATAATATAGAATCATGGCAGAAAGTTATAATAAAGTGAATTTGAAAATCATAATTCATAATGGGAAATTGAAAAATTAGATGGAGAAGTGGAGTGTGAAAAAATAATGAGAATATAATATTGAAGACGAATAGAAGAAAGCAAGAGAGATAGTCAAAGAAATTTTGACAGGAATTACAATATTTGTTAGGCTATGATGGGTGAGAAATGAAAATCTTCAAGATTGATTTCCACTCCAAAAAGTAACTTAATTTTGTGAGTTACCAATAAAGTATTATTTTAGACTAGACATTGATTAAACCATTCTTACTAAGTCTTGAATATTAGCATTTATGATAATGATGAGAATATTCTTTTTTTTAGATTGAAATTAACAATTTTACTTTAAGGAGACTTCTATTAAAATTTGAAACTTATGCAGTATATTCAATTATTATAGAGTAAAAACAATATCAGCAATGTAGCCATTATTTTCAGAGCATATATCTAGATCATTAGTATATATCCACTTGCAATACATCAAAGTATAGAAAAGCTCTCAAATCTTGACAATGAATAACATGGCTACTTTAGATTGTCACATTAATAAAATTCAAATTTGAGTACATAATGAAATGTATAACAAACAATTTCTATCGACAGAGTTTTGCATCCATTGATCTCATTTCAACCAATACTCAATATACACACTATATCAAAAATGATATATCTGATTTTTAATGCTAAAATAATCAATTTCTTAAAGCTGTTTACCTTACATTACTAATATTAGCAGATTAACTTAAGTCTTTTGAGAAAATAATTGAAAATAATTTGGAGGGTTGTGCTAGCTAATTAAAGCATATTAAGAAATAAACTCACAACAGCTATGCCGTTGATATACTCAAAAGGGATCTACATTCACAAATCGATGCTAGTATTTTAAGACTTGTTAAATTTAAATTTGACATAGAATTCAACCACAGTTTCTATTTATTTTTCGATACCCTCATCAATCTTTTGAGTCTTAAATCATTCGATGTTACTCTTTAGATTGAAGGGTATTAATGATTGCATTGAGATATTATACTTGTACATGCTGAGGAGATTATCAGAAAATCTAATTTTGTTTGTTATACTCAAATTATAACAGTATCAATTTTAAATAAATGCTACATTCTCTAGTATTTGAATTAATATCAATCAATTCAATCAGGATGCAGAATTCCACTATCTTACCTTAGTCTTGTTTTTTTGATTAAATTCAGCTTACAAGAACACATTAACAAGCTTTTTGCCTGCTTAATATAATTCCCTTACTGTTGCTACTAATATTATGTTTGATGGCTGAAAATTATTTGTAATCATTTGCATCCTAATTCCTATTCTTAGTATTATACAACTGTTAATATTGTTAACAAGAGATTACCTATTAGGCTTAATTTCAATTATCGAAAATTTCTCACTGCTGCTTCCAATAGGGGGTCTAGACAATATCATACTTCCAACATGCGAGCACCAGAATCTAAAATTAGTAACCTCGGCAAGTCTTTATCCTACAGAATAGCAAACCCTGCATGTTTCATCTAGTCAAAATAAATCATTTATCCTTTCGACAATAAATAGTATTAGCAGCTATTTCTAATAGATCTTCCTTCCTTCCTTCCTTCCTTTCTTCCTACCAGATTGATTCCATAAAGTTATTAAACTACTACTCTACCAACTCAGCTAACTATTTCGTCTCTTTTTGATTTGTATCTATTAGGCAAGGCTCAAGAGTTAATTGAGATGCTCGATTAAAATTTCGATGATTTGGTATGTCACACATAGACAGACTTTCGTTTTATCTTCATCTATTCTTTTTTAACATTTTCTTTATCCTCACTGACTCTTTATTGCTATTAAAATTTATAGATTTCAAAACTTTTATTATCTTTCTGTAGGAATCATAAAAAAAGCTTTTTAAAACAACTGATACATCTTTGGGAGTAAACAAAAACATTATAGGTAAAACTAAGGTTATTGGAAAAAAGAGAAAAAAGTGAGGCTGAAGAAGGTTGAATAAAAATTCACTTCAGATACCCTTTCATGATAATTAAGCAGTATTTATAAAGAAGGATCGAAATAAAATAAAATACCTCAATAAAATTTTTATTGTTTTGTTAATACAAATCCTTATTTGATTCTAGAATATTTTGGTCAACTAATTATTATATTAGCACTTCACAAATAATAAATATTGTTGGTTAATAACTAAAATTATCAAATAGAAATTCAAAAATTGAATTTTTTATTGAATCATCGAGATGAAGATTGTCCCTTTTCGGTTATCCTTTGCCATGTGGCTTATCACTATCAATTTAATCCTGAATTATGATTTTATTAATGTCAAAATCATATTTGTTAAAATTAATAAATTGAATAATTAAAATATCGGCATATTTAAATTTATAATTATATATAAAAATGTTATTAATCTTATTTTTAATTAAATTTATTTAATGAATTTTTTTATGTGTTAAGATGTTGCTCATGAAAAAGAAGTTATTTAAGGATTTTGTTTAAATTTGGAATGCTAAGATTCAAAACCTTAGTTCTGTCTATAATGTGGATTAGACCCTTAGAAGCATTAAAATTGTAAGAAAGATCTCAAAGGATTTGGTTAGATTTAAACTTTTATCACTAAATTCAATAATAACATACTTGAATTAGCAACTGATTTAAATAAATCCTTTGCATAGGCCAAAGTAAAATATGAATAATTCTCAAAATAATTAGAGAATATGAAAATAAAATTAGATATGATATCCGAATGTTTAAATCAATAAGATTATAAATAAATCAAGGATAATTTGTAATTGATAAAGCAATGGTATCAACATTTAAACAATTAAGAAGAGATTATGAAGTAGAATTAAATTGGTATTCTATATAAATAATATTTATAGGAACTTAATTAGTGAAAATGAAAACAATGATTCAGCCATTTGAATTAGATAAAGGATAATAATAAACTTAAGTTATTAAACATGAGAATGAAAATGCACTGTAGTAAGGTATTCAATTGCTTTACAACTTAAATTAGGAATACAATTATTAAATTAATACAAATGGTAGGAAGCTAATGATAAAATTACTGAATACATAAAGTTGTCAGAGAAACAAAAATCATTGGCAATATTCTTTAAAAGTAATTAGATAACATTTTACACAATTAGGTATTTCTTTAATGGAAATGAATTAACCAGGAGAAGGAATAATTATGAAGGAATAGGCCAAAAAAATGAATGATAATTTTTATAGAGATCTTTTGGATTATTCAGATTAAGAATTATTAAAAACCCCATTAAATTGTTTCATTTTAATTGCTAAGAGTTAATTCAACTTTAAGTTTTAGGTTATGCTTTAAATGAAGAAAAGGAATTTCAAAAAGCAATTGAGATATGCGAGAAGGTTTTGAAAGAAAAACCAGATCAACTTCATGCTTTGTATAGAAAAAGTAATAATCTATCTTACATAACCAGGCTATTCTTTATATGGGTTAATGCAACAATCATAAGCTATTTAATGTATTGATGTAGCTCTAAAATATAATTCATAGTATGCTATTGGTTATTTTTAAAAAGGTACATACTCAGTTATAATATTAGGTTATTACTTAAAATTTTAGGAAAAGTTCAAAGATGCAATTAATTGCTATGATAAAGCAATTAAACTCGATCCGAATTATGTAATAGCTTATAATGAAAAAGGTGATTAAATCTTGATGATATTAGGTAATGCCTTACAGAATCTTAAAAATACAACAAGGCAATTGATTACTTTGATAAAGCAATCCTACT